TTTGTCCGAAGCATGCAAGACGGGGCCGAATCGGGCTCGCGGCGGAAACGGCAGCGGCGAGCCCTCTCGGGTTCGTAGCTTGGCTTGCTACTCTGGCGGGCTGAGCCAGGTATGGCCTCGGGTTACTGTACACGCGTAAAGGCTTTCACACCTTAAAAAAATGCAACAACAACAAAAAACAGCGCTCGCTCTTATTCTCGTTCGCGTTCGACGTTGCAACTCTTTGAGCCTCTCAGGCTACTTGAGTGCTTTTCTTCTCTCTTTCTCGTTTTCAAAATAGTCAAGGAAGCTAAATAAATCTTGTTGCAGTAAGGAGGAACTTCCTAGCCCACTATATTTGCCACGTGGGGTCCAGAGGAGCAACTTCCCTAGTTAAATTGACCACTGTAATATCCATGTTTTAGTAATAAGTAGTATCGACGAAGCCCCACTCCTCCAGCATGTTATATACGGGTGGAGCCAAGCTAACTAGGAAAAGAAAAAGGAAGGATAGTAGGTAAGATATATATTTAGTTATATATTTTTCCTCCAGCAGTATGTTATATATTAATTTTAGTAAAATAAATATCGACGAAGAAGCCTTAATCTCCCTGCACGCATTCCATACCGGTTCGGAACATTTCGTCTTCTCCAAGTCGACCAACTTCGCGATCTTGCCCTTGGAGTTGAGAATCTTGGCACAGGTTGACAACACCTTCAAAACCGGACCTGGAATATCGGAGTCCTGGACACCCTGTACTTGTTCGTGTAGCCATTCGTAGGACTTCTCGTTTAGTCGGTCATAAGCGGTTTCGAGTTTCTGGGATAAGGGTGGATTTCGTCGATAGATTGACATTGAATTTCGTCTTCAGGAGTTTCAAGTTTCATTGGTGGGGTATCCGACACGCGTCGCGAGGAAATGACTGCATAAGTAAACAACTTTTTACAACAGAAATTGACGTAGCAAACCAAACCGCACAAAATCAAAAATACCTTGATTTCCTTCACGGCAACCGACTTGTCATAGCAGAAAGCGAGGTTGAATTGTCTGTAAGCTGGATTCCAGACGGTGTTGCGGACGATGGCCTCCACAACGGGAGGTTGGTACAAGAGCTGCTCGTAATAAGAAATGCTATCTGCCAATGCCAGCGAAACTCGGAACCAACCTGAAGATCATGAGCTTGGGAATGACGCAGGGCGACGAAATCAGAAGACTTTAGTGAAAAGGCTGAAAAGTTGGAGCTACCTAGAGAATGGGGGCGGAGGGAACGTCCCATCCGCCCCAGAGACATCACCATCAAAGACAGGCCGAAGACTTACTGTTATTATAATATAAATATCTGCAGAAGATAAACTAGTACCTGGCGGCACAAAGATGATGTCACCGGGCTCTTGGTTCACCTCGACGTATTTCTTTAGACCAAATTCCTCCTTCAGTTCTGGAAGTTTTTCTTCGAAGAACATGTACCTGAGAAAAGCAGTGCCGAATGTTAACCCCATCACGTGAACCATGAAATCACGTGGGAATGAATGTATTTGATTAGAGAAAGTAACCTGCAGCTTACACAATGCCTGTCGTGAATTTACTTGCACCTCATTCCGCTATAATTGTGGTGGAGCAGACCTAACTAGAAAAAAGAAAGACCAGAGGAAGATAGAAAAGCGAAAAGGGCAATTATCATCAAGTATACTCCTAAATACTTGTATCTGCTAAAAGAGACTCCTATCTGCTAATATTAATGGTTTTACGCGCTCGTCTGCTGAAACTCCAATGCCTCTCTTGCTTTTTCAGCTACCGCTTGCACCTCTTCCTCGGTTACTAAGAGCCAACGGCGATATCCATGAACTAGCACGTCGTAAAAGGGCAGTCCATTCTCGGACTGCAATTTGTTGCCGCTTCCCGAAGGCCCAAAGACGAAATAACGGAAGTTTCCTGCTGCTTGCTCGGATAAGAAGTCGGCACCTGATGTAGTGAGGATCGTATTGGAGCAGGTTGTAAACTGATAATATTTGATGGAGGAACGAATGGGTAGACGCCGAGCATCACCTTCAACGTGGGGAGAAACTACATCGTCATAGTTCACCAGAACAGCCAGGAGCAGCTAGGTCAGGTTAGGTTAGGCAGGTGACCTGAGTAAAGTCGTTGCCAAATGAGCGAGGTCCAATCAAAACAATATACCTTAACAAGATACCTTCTTTCTTCCCCAGCATGGTCTTCAACTCTGGTTCAGTCTTGTTCGAAGACAAGAAGATCTTGTTAGCGGCCTTCTCCCAGTCATAGAAAACGTTGTCCACAATAGGTCCTTTCGAAGTCTTCAGTTCGGTTCTGAATACTCAAATTAGACGAGTGTGACGGGATCATGAATGGAAAGATGTTGTGAGTGAGCTGCGAAGATGAAAGGCAGCCTTCTACATCAAGTAATCAATTTAATACCAAAACATCCTCCAGCTGAAACTTTAAAACAGCCTTGTAACACGCGTCATGCTCATCTTCGAAGTTGAGATGGTCATCTTCGTGGTTGAAGAAAAGAGCCTTAAATCCAATTCCGATTCGTGTTCGACAAATTTTCTGGCGCTAATCTTGTGCTCACAGTGCTCCGTTGCCTGGCCTGGGATCTTAGGTGCTGCTGGTGTTCCCAAATAACAATTCGTCAGATAGCGAGAAAACGGAATGAGGCTCGGCTCCGTGAAGTAGACGCGGTTTCCGACGACCTTTTGTCTAGGCACGTCGGGCGCGAAGTATTCCAGGACGGTGCCGTTTTAGAGCTTGAGTTTGAGATTTGCTCCCTTCACCTTTTTTCCAGTTGTAAATAAATACTTACACAAGTAGGTAGAGCTTGAGATTTGCTCCCTTCACCTTTTTTCCAGTTGTAAATACACAAGGGACAGATGCAAAGAAGAATCATCTTATCTCATAATTCTTCTCCAAATATTCGTTTCCGGAGAGTTCTTCCGCATTGAACTGTTCCCTGGCCCGGTCAAAATCCTTGAACAACGACGCGCCGTTCTTCACCAAAAACGGCTTCGAGAACTCCAGCTTCTTCGCATACTTCTTCTCATACTGCTCGACGCTTAGTTCCGGGTGATTAGAGCAGAGGAATGTAGGAATGTAGTATTAATAGGTTGGATCTGGAGGAGGTAGGGGTGCTATTATACTAGGTTGGATCTGGAGGTAGTGGTTTCGCTGCGTGGACTAGATCGAAGAAACAAAAAATCCTGACTGCAGACTTTCAAAGTGTGCCGTAAGTATACTGTTCTTCTTGCTCGGTTTCGCTCGCAGCTTCTTCAACTCCTTCAATTTGTACTTCCCCACTGTAAAGGAGACTGCTTTCTCCTTCTTCTTCGTTTCCTTGACCACGGTAGCAGCTTCGTTTAGCTTCCGCAGTTGCTCCAGCATGTTGTCCAGAAAGAGGGTGATGCTGGAGTGCAGCTTTTCGGTTTTGGCGAACTCTGCTAATTTGACGCCGTCTGCAGATTAGAGTCTTCAGAGTGGAGACGCTGTCGTGAGATAATAATGTACCTTCACTAGAGTAGTTCATCTTCCGCAAGACCATAATCTAAGATCTTTGCTGTGTTCTCCTTCTTGTTAATCGCCATCTTAGCATGGAGATTCACACTCGCTTGTCCGGAGACCAGTGTCGAAGTTGCGGCAAATATTCCGCACAGTAAAGCTGTCAGTGACATGGGGCTTCTCCTTCCCCTCGTGTGGGCAGAGCATGCAGAACCAGAGGAACGTGGCTCCATTTTTTTCTCTATGTATGTGTAGGGACTAGACGGATTGTAGTTCAAAGTCCATAAGAAATTGTTGATCGTTAAATGTATCTCTCCTCTCGGACCGTCCTGTATGCTTGATCATGCCAGTTCTGATCGACAGAGGTTAGATCGCTATTACCCTACTGAAGTAGATCCAACCGAGTTTCAACCATGACTCACGGATCCCGGATCGACCCATGACACGCAACATGAGCATCCTGTTTCACAGGATAGGATAGGAGTTGGCTCACCTGTGAAGGGGTGAGCGTATAGGCAAAAGGCGCCTTCATATATAAGTAGTCAGAACTGAACAATGAACAATTTCACTTCCAAAACACAACAATCCACGGCGGCTGGAATAGTCACTCGAAGTGACGTTTTTGTCTGAAAGAAAAGCTGTTCATTTCTGTTCAATTCAACAGATGTTGAGCAGTGCACTGGGTTTTCTTCTTGGAATGAGGGAAATAAAAGGATGTCTCTCATCAAATCTTCACAGAATTTCTGTGACCTAGTGATGACATGATGTTTTTGGAAAATCTTTCCATGTACGAATAAAACAGTTGATGTTCTAATAATTTTCAAGTGGCTATCAAATAGGATCAGGAATAGGCTAGGGTGCGTTTGGATACGATTACTTGCGACTGCACTACACATAGCGATCGTCGAGAGTTCAAATGCTGAATCTGGTTCATTGTTCTATTTGTTTTGTTTGTTTGGTATCGCGTAAGAAAATGATTGTAAATGAGTATAATTAAAACGATCTTAGACATTAGGCAATCTTGGCTAAAAGAGAGATAGTTTCATTTTCACCTTAGAAGGAGTACAACTACTTATGATGTTCAACCGCTTACAACCTTCATGCTGCGGTGTTCTATTTTCATCTGATTCACTCGTTAGCGAGTTCTTTGAAAACCTAGTTGTACAATACCGTATAATATAATGCCCTTTCACCACAACTATGATCCAAGAAGATCCTAAACCCTCCCCTTTGCCATAAACAAAATATTGATGATAGCCACGATGAAGAGAACAACACTCATCATAAGGAAGTTCATGTTCCTCTTCCGCAGCGTCTCCACTTGAGCTTCGGTCATGGCTTCGCTAAAATCGTCTACGAATTCCTCTCCTCCGTACTCGTTGTGGTGCGGAGAACCACCCCCACCTGCGGTGTCCGCCGGACTCGACCCGTCGAGAACGGCTGCTGGTTCGGGAGATTAGATGTCGATGTTGTTGCTTGTGGATGGATTACTCATCTTGTTGAGACTGAGACACATCTTGATGATGTGTTGATGAGTATGTTTTTAATATTATAAGATGGGGAATCATTGGAGGTACTACGAATAGAAGATTTAATATACTGTCTTAAAAATAGTTGCCATGCGGATCGAAGTATCCGCCGTCTACATCGTAGTAGCCGCCTTCTGCGTCGTAGTAGCCCCCTTTGGCATCATAGTATCCACCAAATTCGTCGTAGTATCCAGAGCCTCGCGTGTCCACCTGAGACGCACCGCTACCGCGACCCGTTTCTGCTGGCTCTTCGCCGTAAAAGAAGCTTCGAAAGAACGATTTTGGCGGTTTGATACCGTCAGGAGACCCGTGTTTGGTCCTTGGGCCCTTAACGATATTTCCTCGAACCACAGTTGTGCGCGACAGAGCGTCAACTGGTGATACTGCAGCTACCCTCTGCTTGGCAAAGCGCGCAACGATGTGAGCGCGCCCCATCTTCGCTCCGTGCAAGAGGCGAGTGCTGCTCGTACTGTGCTGGTCTTGGAATTAGAGTGTGAATCCAAACAAAAATTCGGCCTCTAAAAACCTACATCTCAACCGGTTGTATTCATCTTTCTTTCATCAATCCAAAAAAAATGATAGACACCAAATAAACCCTAAACCCTAAATTTCTGACGACGAGTACCCCGCATCCTCCGCGTAGAAGAGATGTGGAGGTGACTGTGGCGACCCAGCAGCGATGTCTTTTGACTTTTCTGAGTCTGGCACCACTCGCGTACCTGGGAAGGCCTCAAAAGTTACGGATTTGCCAGTGCCAGGAGCACGAGGATTAGAGGCGTATGCCAATATAATATTCCATCCTTGCCGTAATATTGAATATCAATATTCTGTATGAGTATGTCTTCCTCTTTGATTTGAGGTGTTCCTCTCTGATTTGAGGTTTTCCTCTTTGAATTGAGGTTTTCCTCTTTGATTTGAGGTGTTCCTCTTTGATTTGGGGTTTTCCTCTTTGAATTGAGGTTTTCCTCTTCGATTTGAGGTGTTCCTCTTTGATTTGAGGTTTTCCTCTTTGATTTGCGGTGTTCCTCTTTGATTTGAGATGTTCCTCTTTGATTTGAGGCGTTCCTCTTTGATTTGAGGTTTTCCTCTTTGAATTGAGGTTTTCCTCTTTGATTTGAGGTTTTCCTCTTTGATTTGAGGTTTTCCTCTTTGATTTGAGGTTTTCCTCTTTGATTTGAGGTTTTCCTCTTTGAATTGAGGCGCTTGAAATAAAGCCAAGGATGGAATCTAGGAAGAGTTTCCTAAGAGGACCTGTTGCGGATGCCGATGACCCCGACGCAGATGACCATGCATCTTCACCTCCAGCTCCACCAGCATTGTTCGCATTTCCATCGCTAGGACTTGTGATGAAGGCACCAAGTTGCTGACTCTTACGCAGAGCAGATGCTCCTGGCGGTGGTGCACCTCCTTTGCCTTGTGGTACTAGAGTAGCAGTTCCTGACAGACGCAAAGCCCCTTTCCCACCGACCAACACCATTGACGATCCCTTATCACTTCGTCCTACATGTCCTACTAGACCGGTCCTGGCTGACACAGATGCTCTTGTGCCTTTCCCTCGGATTAAAGCTTCTGCTTCAGCTACGTCCTTCGGGCCATCCTACTTGGCCTCATTTTCCCTTTGGAGAATTATAGGCCCTAGGATGGTTCTGAGGATGCTCGCTTGGTTGCCATAATCGGAGTTGTGCACTAGACTTTTTGCCGTCTTCAGCATCGTCGGCGAGCCCTACGGCCGCTGAGATCCGCTTATACGCTCCAGAGAAGAAGTCCGTTGCTGCTGCAAGAATTTGCGCAGCTGCAACTTCCTGTTAGACAACAACACAACAATTCACTCCTGGACTACATTCCTGGCCCAGTCCAAAGAAAGAACTATCACTTGTAGAGAGAGTTGAACTATTCAACTATTGAACTAGTTCAATTATAGAAACTGTTGAGAGCTATTCCATTGTAGAGATGCAATATAATAGAATTGAGCCTTAATGATCCTGGGTTTCCTCTTTATCCTCTCCACCTTCCTCTACTACTTCTTTAGCTTCGCCTTCAGCAGCTAGCAGTTTCTGACCACGAAAAGCCTCACCGGGAGATTCGCCTCTTTCGGTGAATTAGAAGAGGTTAATACTGAGTACCTCACCAACAAGAACAATAATAATAATCTACCCAGTCTTGGGGTACGTACAGTTGTGGGGGAAGGGGGAATGTCCGGTTGCAGGGAGGTGGGGGTACCGTTGTTCATTCTTTCACTAAGTCTAAGTAGATACTACATCAAGTCTAAGTAGATACTACAACTCCTGTACGTATTCCATGACCACTTGGCGAGGAGGCGAACAACTCGTAGCAGAGTAGTCATTGCTGTTCTTTACTACTTTCAAGTATGGAGTAGCACCATCATGCCAAAAGCGAACATAGAAAAGCGGTTTTTTAGCCAAAAAACGTACATGAGGCCCCGGGATCAGTTGGGCAATATTCGTCTCAAAATGGAAAATTTTCATTCTGAGACGAATAATGTACAAATTATAACATGAAAACTAGAGCAATTTGCATGCATCTAAAAAACTTTCGCAATAACTGCTCGTCCCCGACCACGAGCTGCTTTCTTCCCCAGACGCAATAACCGCATCTGTAGCGTCGCCTTCAGAGATCAACCCGAACAACGAGTGTTGAGATGCTGACGACCGTCGCACGTAGTCCTTTGCTCTTTGAGAATCCCTTTCCTTCTTGGCTTCTAGCTCCATAGTCAGAGATGCTTTCGAGTCCCGACCCTCCCTGGCAATCTTTAATAACGAGTCTACCTCTTGACGCCTAGCTGCTTGTTTCGCTTCTTCCAATTCGCGATGTTGTTGGCGCTCTGCGCGGGTGTTACGCCAAACCACTGCGAAATTCACGACGCAACCACCGGAAGGTTAGAACAGTAATATTTTGCTTCATGGGATAAGTCTAAGGTGTAGAGGTAAAAACTAACCGGTAATATTGTGTTCGATGAGCAGAAAAAATAGACCTCCCCATCTTTCAGGTGGATCACAGTAGTCGCAAAAAAAGACACGACTATGTTGATGCGTGAACAACGAAAGCCTACACTTCGGGTTCAAATGGTGCGTGAAGTGCGAAACAAAACTACTGAAGCTGCGGGAAGAAGTGTCGGGCGTGTCCAAAATGTTGCCATAATAATTCAAGCTCTCGTTCCACTCCTCAAAGGTCATTTTTCGACTGCTAGACTGCTCCCCACCATATTCCATCGCTAAGGCATCAGTGGCGAAAAAGGCCTCCTCATCCAAGTCCTCCATACCGTCGAAATTAACAGAATTACCTCCTGATTTCCGAACGCTCTGTTGTGACCCTCTAGAAAGTTGTCCTAACATTACACCTGGTTGTACCTCGGATTTCTTGCTCCCTTGTGCTGTAGCGACGCTGGTCTTCGATGCTGCGACACTGGACTTCGAGGCTTTTGTTTAGAGGTGTATGAAAATAGATTATGTCGAAGGTGAAGGGGATGCTCTGATTAATCATGTGAGAGAGCATAGTAGAGAGCATGGCACTACGTTCTGCTTCTCAAGAAAGCTGATTTCCGATGATGATCATCTCAACATCCTAACAAGTTGTATCTATCTATTTTTCGTGTTTGTTAATATATTTTCTACCAGCGAAGCCTTAAGCATTCATCTGCTGAGTACCAGCTGGTGCAACGTTATCTGTAGGACGACGCATGGAGGCCCCAGCTTGACGCGTCATGCGGTCGTCGCTGTCGGTGCTGAGATTTGACGCTCTCAGGAGGTCGCTGACCCCAGTATCTCTCGCCCCCGGACCAACATCGCCTGCGCCGGAAGCTGCAGACGGCCCATTGTCAGCACCTACCTCCTCGTCATCTGTACCACTGTTTTTGTCAGCACCTACCTCCTCGTCGTCTGTACCACTGTCTTTCATCAGGTTAGCTACTTCCGTTTCCATTGTGATTTGGTCCGGAACTTGGTCTCCATCTAGAAGACCTGGCGTATCTTGCTTCTCTGGTGTATCATCATGCTTCCCCTCTATTGTAGTGGGTTCTGTAGTAAAATTATTGATGCCGTCACTTCCACTATCTTGGTCTGAGCCTCCTGTCGAGAGTAAAGAAGGCTTTGGAATGTCGACGTCTGTGTTCGTTGTCTTCTTCTTACTAGATTTCTTCGACGAGTGCTTCTTTTCCACGACCTCATCCTTAGACGTACTACCATCATCTTTTTGTGCAGAGGAGGAAGGCTGTGCAGAGGAGGAAGGCTGTGCAGAGGAGGAAGGCTCATCTTTTGTCTCACCAGCATCGGCTTTGCTCTTTTTCTTGTGATGATGTTCATGCTTCTCGTCGTCACCTTTCTTATCTACTTTGTCGCCTTTATGATCACTGCTGTGACTATGATGCTTTCTTTCACCATCGTCTTTATCGGTGTGCGAGTGATGGTGTCTGCTCTTCTTGCTGTCGCCCCTGGGTAGTTGTAGATCGATTGATTGATTGATTGATGTGCCTGGCATGAGGTCGAAGAAAAAGGTGTAGAAGAAGTTCTTTCGACTTCTTCCTTCAATGCAAAAAGTTCCTTGTGGTCTATCAAACGACATAAAAGCCAAAATTTTCTAGAAATTATAATAGTACTCTGTCGTTTCTTTCGAAACTGCTCCATCCAGTTCGCCTGCGGCGTGCTTCATAAAATCGTCGAAGCCGGTTGCGTCGACGTCCAAATCATCCCCACCAGCTGGCGCACCAAACGACAGAGGCTCGTCTGACTCTGATGTCTTCCCTTTCTTAGTCATCCCTTTCAGGGTTTTATGCGCAGTCTCGAGCTTCTCTTGTGCTGTTTCGAGGAAGATGACGCAGGGCGTTAGATGTCATTTCAAGATAGTCCTCATACTTTCATCTTGAGGGAGGTGGTTGAAAGCTATCTTATCTTGTTGAAGAGAGCAGGTTGTACGCATCTAGTGGTTTTTCTCAGCAGCTTGAGAAGATCAGAGCCAAATCGTCGGTGAGCAGTGCGAGAGCACCCTTCTGGACAAGGCAGGGGGGACGTATCCTATCAGTTTTAAGTTTAAAAGTTGCTATGTATCGTGCAACAAGCAGAAAAGTAACACTATACTCACCAGCCCAGCAGTGAGGAAAGGCCTACTATCTATGCTATTCTATATATGAAGAATGTATATGTGTGAATGTAAGTACTTAAGTAAAACAAGCAAAGTAGAAGGAACGAACCCTTAAATTATGTCGCGACTGCACTACTGACAAAGATTGCAACACGATCTCCTTGTGCGGCCGGTCGCCTTTGGGCATGCGCTTGTATGCTTTTTCGGTCTGTTTTCTCAGTTTCTCAGACGTCTCAGTTCGGATCATTTCTCGCAACTCTCTGTCCCCTTTTTCATTCTCGCCAACATACGGTGTATGAAGCACAGGCAAAATTCGAGAGACGAGCTGTGGAACAAATTGGAAAGGTTGGATGGATGATGTTGTAGTCGTGATTGTGTGCATGTACTTTAGTATCTTCTACAGAGTATCTTCGATGTTGTAGTTGCGTGCAGCATGTCTACCTACCTTCCTTCTGCCAAGTAAAGATGAATTGGAAATAGAAATACTATAACCACCCCCGGCAAAGAAGTTACTTGTACAATCAGCAATTTAACAAAAACACATTCTATTGTCCAAGATAATCTACCGATTCCGCCAATTCCATCGCAGCCTTTTGCAAGCTCTCTATATGCTTACTGGCTTTCTTCGCCTCATGCTCCTTCTTATCCGCGTCCTCTAGTTCGCTCACGTCTTTTGCTTTAGAGGTTGCGGCATTGCATTCTTCGGACCATTCTTGCCTCCCTTCATCCGATTGGAAACAAGAATGGTACTAGTGCAAGAATGGTACTTACTCGTGCACGAATTAGGGTATTAGTGGTGTCAACTAGTGCAAGAATGGTGCTACTAGTGTGAACAGTAGCGCTTCCTTAATCACTAGCGCTTCCGCTTCCTTTTTCAGCTGTCCTTCGCCGTCCTCGATCAATTGCGAAATCTGTGCCGCCTCATCTTCAGTGTCAAGGTTTCTCTCAGCGAAGCCTTGGAGGCGTTCCGTGAATTTCGTGAGGGCATGGTTATGCCCTTTGAAATCCGAACTGCGCCCTTCGGACAGCGACATTCCTTTTGTTTGTCTTCGTGGTAGTGCTGGTTGCTTGAAGATTACAATTCAGCTTCAGGTCATAGAAATCGTTATTCAAAGCACTGCTCGACGACGTGTCCATATGTACTATGCATCTACTGTGTGTATGCGGGACGATCAAAGGAAGCATCGGGACGATTAAAGGCGTTTTCAACTTTGAGTTTTTTGACATGATCATCCGTCGATCCCGTTTTTTGACATTTACATCCGATAAGTCTTATAATCATCGAAGGCGCTTAGACGATACTATAACCGATTCTCTCGCTACGCGACCACAGAAGTACAACCTTTTTTACGTGATCACCGACTCTACCTTCTCACAGCCCTCGTACCACCACGAAACGAAAGGCATTTACTGTTTAGAGCTCGTGTGGCTTCTTTCACCAGTACACGGAAATGACTCGTCGAGCGAAGAGTCCTAGCCAGGCCTTGTGCAGTAAGCAGCAATGATTTTTGTTTCCTTGAATACGAGTGTTCTTTAATCTTAACTAGACAGTTCTAAATATAACAACCATTGGACACGACGAGCATGTTGATATCGCTTACATTCGTATGGCGAATATGACGTGCTGGTGCAACAATGTTCTTGTTCTTGTCACCTCCTTCGTCAAGAGACAAACAAAACAGCAATCCCGCAAAGAGAGGCCTCCAAACTAAAATCCAAAACTTAAAGTACTAGCTGTATTGGCAATAGGGTTGTAGTTCTAGTTTTTCGTAGCCCGATCGCGTTCTTAGAAATCGTAGCTAGTTGTAGGATTCTAAAAATTCGGTAAAACTTTCAAGTACAGGTTTAGATAGAGAGAGTGCGATCGAACCTGGTTGTCGCAAAAGCTCTCATAGGTTCCTCACAGGATTAACATATGAAAGAAGAACTGTTGTAGATGGAAATCATGCAGGCGCTGCGCTAGTAAGATAAAGGTTAATTTTGAGTTGTCCTAGTTGTCCGGAAGAAGAGAGCATCGAGTGATGCTATACAGAACGCCCATTTTTTGAGAGAAACTGAAATGAGAAATCTATATATAATTTACGACTACTTAGTACACCTTGTCTAAAGATTTTGCTTGTGGGAATTTTATTCATCGGGCTCGGATGGGTGTATGGATACAGCAGAAGACCAAAAAAGGACCGACTAGTAAATAGCAAGGTTGGTTTGTTTCTCACACGCTCCACTCCAAGTTACATATCGTCTAGGGCCACGTAATGGACCACAGGTGACGCGCTTGGGGGAGCGACCCCCCATACTTCAGTGCCTTAAACTGCTCTGGCATTCAACCTTCCGCCTCTAGAAGGCTCAGATCAACATAGATTTGCGGCAAATTTGTCACCTATGATTCATAACATAATCACAGACCCAGCACAACAACCAAGCTGTAACCGATGTTTATATGATCACATAGCAAATCACCGAACACACAAGACCGATGAAACTTATTACGAGTCGTCTCTTCATTTAATCCGAAGCTTCACATATTCCGATTATCACTCTCATTAAGTCACAACCAACAGAAGCTTGAAACCCCTTCCACCACTCTTGACGTAGCAGAAAGCGCTCAAAGAGAAACTCTCACGTTTTATGCTCTTAACGTCTCTCACAACACTGGCATGACTGTCCTGTACCTGAAAGCATTCAGATTTTTCAATCTCTTCATAAGCACAAGACAAATTAGCGGCGTTGCGCTAGTAGTCAGAACCTGAGACAGAGCTGCGCCTCAGTCTGGTTCTAATTTTCGTTTTTTATCGGACTTTTACTTTTTCGTTTTGCTTCTCGTCGCTCAACTTTTCACTTAAAAGACAATAAAAACAGCTCTCCACCAGAGTATGCGCTGGAGTTCCGCTCAATGCTTCCAGCGTGTCAACTACCTAGCCTGCCTGCAGAGCTAGCCCACTTTTTTCATCCTGTTTTCGGGTGAGGGGATCGGGCCTCTTCATCATCCTTTTTCCATCAAAAATCTTACTGCCACCCAAGAACTATAGAAAGCTGTCGAACTATACACCACAGCAAGGACAGTACGACAACACACCCTTCTCGGCAGACGACACAAGGGACAACCCCCGCCACGGCCAGACATACACCATCGACCTTTTACCTTGCCACCATTTTCACACCTTGTTATCTATAGATCAGCGGCCACCGAGCAGGGGCAGAACTTTCTATTCGAATAACGTGATACCAGACCAGAAATTTAGGATTCTCATTGTTGTTCCTAGAGCATCATCACAATATATTTAAGGCAAGACCGATCGAAAAAAAAGTAGGATCAATGAAAAAAAATCAATAAAGAGCGCGCTTCCCGTTTTCGCACTTTTTTGGAAGCACGCAGAGAAAAAAGAGTCTTACATTCTCTATTCTTATTCTTATCATTATTCGTGAACCCCCTAGTAAGGAGAGGCCGTCAATTGCTTGCTCAATGGGTATAACTAGGTAAAGTGAGGGCAATCAACTGTATTGAAATACTTACAATATTGGCAGAAACTAACTTCAAAAAAAGACTAAGCGGAATTTATACAAAGAGGAGGAGAAACAACTTCAAAACAAAGCATCAAGCTCTTTGCTGCATCAAAATAGTTAACTCGTGCCTATTCAAGCGTCAACTAGATCAACAAGGAGGGCAGCAGACTAAAGTTCCCGGGTGTTCTTGCGGGTAAAGAAGAAGGCGAAGCTGCGGAAGGATCTTGTCGAGAGAAGAAGATCCAACAAGAAGGAAGTTAGCTAATGTCGTGCTTACAGTTTTCACGTCGTAAAATTAACAAATTTCCAACGTTAAACACGAACATAAAAGCCCTGTGACTAATGGCGGCGTCTTGCTTCAGGTCTACCTTATTCTTCCTGGTCTTCCTTGGATGAAAGTAGGAACGAACACCGACAAAGCCAACAGACTTGCGCAGTGAACCGGTAGGCACCGCTCTCACTAAGCACCACAAGAAAACAAAAGCCGAAAGAAGGAGTGCGTTGATGTGGGACTGCTTGCCCGTTCTACTTCGATGGCGATCGCCCTAAAGTCACGGCTTTCAATCGAATATATTCCGCCTTCAGCTTTCAAGAGCAACAAGGCCGCAGAGAGAGATGGAGAGTGCTGGCGGTGGTGAAAAGAAGAAACGAGAGATGAAAAGCTAAAACTGATCGATACTCGCTTCGCAATACAAAGAACTAAGTATCATTTTTTTCTCCCTACTATTAGTTGAAAGCCTCCATCTTCTATTCTTGAGGAAGACCTGGTGCCCAAGTCAGCGCTACCACAACGTTGACACTGTCCATGTGTCCTTCTCCGCCTAGGATTCCTAAGAGAGAGGACTTTCGAGTAAGAACATGCTAAAAAAAATCAATTATCAGAGATTGCGGTCACCGACATTGCGGTCACAACGCAGTTATTCTCAAGAGAAAAATCCTCAGTAGTACAGGGATCACACACCTTGGCAATCAGAGTTATGTCGACGTTGCATACACATATACATGCTTTAAATAAATTGTATTTTTTCCGACTCATATTCTTTCTAAAATCGTCGTTCTTTTCCGAACTGCATCTTCATCTAGAAACGTTGAGTACATTTTTGTTAGCCGCGGTATGAAGATGACATCACCTTACTCAGAATATCCTGGGCAAATAATGCCTCGACGCTAGAAGGCGCTACCCGAAAGGAACGATAAAACTACCCAAGAATACCTGTTAATACTCGTAGCAACCCCCCGTGTGAGATCCTACTAGCATTAAACCCTTTTCAGAAAGAACATGTACTTGATGTACGAGGACATACTTATAAACTTAAAAAACTACCAAAGATTTCGATCCCAAAATAAAATGGCGCAAAGATATGCTTGCTCACCGCTAGGACGAATAGAAGATATGATTCATTTCTCTCGAGCCTAAGATGAGGTCCTTCTCAATGTATTTTTTCACTTTCACGATTTCAAGATTAACGTGTTTTTTTCCCTCTTCCAAAGTTCCTCTGAGGAACAAACAAAATCTTCACTCAACGAACCCTCTATCTTCTTGTGCTTGTATCTTCTTGTGTATGCAGCTTCGCTCGACAAAATCTATTAGATTCTTCAGAGTCGTGGACATTACTCAATGGAGACATGTTGATGCTTGACGCGTACTCGTACCTGGCGTTCTCCGGTCAATGTTGTATTCTCTGCACACACGGAAACACACACAAATTTCGAAAAAAGTGTTAATGGGAAACGGGGATCGAGTTGAGTATTCATGGGTAAAAAACCAAGACTTCATCCGGGTATTTTGAAAAAAGAGAAACTACATCATGCGAAAATTATAACCCCATAGATGCGCCTTAGTAAATTTAGAGTATTTCTTGCTCGATAAAAATTGAAGAACGTGTGGACATATTCCATTCCATGAAGTCTAACACTGGCTAGCATACCAGCACCTAGACTATGCGATGCTCTGCATCCTCAGAAGAGAAGACACAAATCCGCCTTTAGTGTGTATTCCATCACGAAAAAAAGGTCATTACTTTGTTCCCAAAAGATTCTTACTAACTTCGGCTCTCGTATTCTCAATATGGAAAAAGCATGTCACTATGTCGTTTTAGATCACGCCACATTCATTACCATCTACCAGTGTTACTTTCGCCTCCTCACGATACTAAAATATGTAAAGTCGTGTCGTGCTTCCTCTAGCTTGTGCGTTCTTCTAGGTAGTATTATCATTCACCGAGAGCGAGACATAGTAATACTAGTATAATAGGACCATTACTTCTACAACAAGAGAGCCTTTGCTCTATGCCTTTTCGCTTGTGTTCAGCGATATTTTCGTGATACAGAACTAGATCGTATCGTCATTTGAAAGCAAGCCACCTCCACCATTGTGTGAGTCGCATTCCAGTAAGGAAAACCCTGACGCCACTCCCGAACGCTCACTGCTGCGTCCACCGAAAGAGTACTCTGCTTCACAACCCGAGGTTTCCGACTGCTCATAGTCCTCGTTGTAGTTGTCGTAATTACAATCATGATGGGGATAGTCTTCTTCTTCTTCTGATTGTTCACGATCGCCAGGAAGTTCATCGCCCTCGCGGTCGCGAGGTCCATCTTCAAGCCGATGACTATACAAACCTGCAACTCGAGGTCCATAAGATGCTGGTCGAGGCAATGCGTCAGAATTTTCTTCGTCTTTAGAGGTGTCGGGAATGCATCCCACAGATCATCTGGGTCCCTTTTCTCCAGATGACCTTCGAGATGCTAGTACACTCATAACGCTCATAACGTCATCTTCGTCGCTTAAGGAAGGAAAAGGCTCGTCTATGCCGGAACTACCTAGAGTGTTGCTCGAAACGGCTTTAAGCAGTCGTGCGTCCTCATCTAGTTGTGTCAGACTGTTGTTCCCTCTATTTGTTGCACCAGTTGTGCCGCGTATTTCTATTGCGCTATGCTCATGTTGATGCATAGCATCAGTGAGAGGTATATTTTTACCAGCTGCGCGATTACTGTTTCTATTATTACCCGTAGCACGCTTCCCAATCCTTCGTTTCCGCGTTCTCGGTACCAAACCGGTAAACCTCTTCTGCGCAGTTCCATCTGAGGTTTTCAAATGTTTGAAATTCAAAAACGCCCTGCGAAAGGATCGTTTCAACCGGAGACACCAGAAAGTTCGCACTGGTTCGGCAAAGCCTTTACACAGGATGCCACAGCGATGCTCGTAGTCAACGCCTTTGCGAAAGCCAACTCGCTCTAGCTCCTTCTGCAGTATAGGTGTCAATTGATGCCACTCATTTTGCTTGTTCTGGTGCGTTAGATGCTGTTGAGCTAGAGGGAGAGCGCGGCTGCGAGCGTGCTGAGTATCACTATCATGGTCTACTACGTCGATATTGTCCACATGTCCGTGTGCCCGCAGATCCTGAAACTCGACGTCTCCATGTGTCCATGATTCTTGGTTCTCCGGCAAGTTTTTCCGCGGTGTTGGTGTAGTACTATCACGAGCAGCTGCAGATCTGGCCCAACCTTCAGCAGCACGAGCAAGAATTTTAGAACTAAGAGAAATCCACCCTGCAAAGCCTTCTAGAACCTTTTTCCCCGTGAATGCGTGTGAAGATGGATTTCGTGTAGCCTTAACAATAGCGGCCCCACTTTCCACTCTCCCTACCGTTGGAGTCGAATTGGTAGTGTTACTCGTCGTGGTCATGAAGTTACTCGAAATTTGGCATTCATTGCTCAGTGTTCGACTCCCTGTCCGCGAGTGGCGCCACTTCTTACTAGAGCTAGCTCCTTGGATTAGAGCTCAAAAGACTTCACTTCTTGCGTATTATTCTCCCAAAACTTCTAGACACAAAATATAGCTTGTAGAAATGGCTTGTAGAAATGAATTCACAAATTCTTTTAAGCCTTAACTCGATTGACGTCATTCTCGAGGGTGTTCCGCTTCGCTCTTGTTGAAGCATGCTTTTAGTACGCGCTTTGGGGGCAGAGCCGGAGCCTAACGAAGATGTTTTCAAACCTCGTGAAAATGAACAGGCCCTAGCATTAGTGGTTGAAAGTTGACCCCCATCTAGTGGCTCGCATATGATCTATGGCTTTCCTACTTGCTAGATATGCTCATAGAGATGCTCATAGAGATGCTCATGGAGATGCTCATAGAGATGCCCATAGAGATGCCAACTTCCAAGCCTTAATAGTAGATCTCCAATGCACTTCGCCACCCAAGCATCCGACCGCTGTGCTACAGCTAGAGGAGGACCTACAAGCGGGTATCAGATGATGATGATCCGGAAGATGTTGCACATTCTCCGACTTCAACGCAGAGAAACTACTACAACTACTAGAAGAAGCTGCACTGGTACTTCGAATTGGTGCACCTAGTACACCATCTTCTACAGGTCCACTAAGTGGACAAAGCCCATCGGTTTCAGGGGAAGGCGTTTCCGCTCCAGCAATTGTGTGATCTAACGCTGGCCGTCCCCATTGACTGCTTCTCAATTTGCGGTCCCCACGGGTCCGACCGTTGTTCGTACCAGCTGAAAGAAGAAACATATCCCTGGCTGAACATCCTGGATAGACACTACGCCTCCCAGCTGCACCTGCTGTATTTACAGAGGATGGAATAGGACTGCGACCGAGAGCTCCATGAGGAGCTTGCTGAGCTGCTCTACTATAGTGAGCTGCTCCAGGACCTAGTACATGAACAGGATTGCCCAACGTCATACTCCTGCCACGACATGATGAAGTACTTGAAGATCCTGGTTTTCCTCCTCCGAGTCCAACTTGTAGTTCCTCCACATCTACTCCTCCTCGCGCTTTTACAGCATACGAGGATTTCTTTTTTGCCTTCTTGTCGTTTCGTGGACCGCATATGGAATTTCTGCTCGAGGAATTAGTCGTGGCACTCGAAAGATTCCGACCCAATGTGGGCAGGAAAGCAGTTGTGATCCGTCGCTTGGCATCCCTTACGTGAGGCCAGCTCAAGGCAGACGCTTGTGTGGCTGACCGGATTCGAGGCTTTTCTCCCGTTTCTTGGCCAAGACCTTGGTCTTCCCCATCCTCCCCAACAGCCCTTCCACTAAAGGCAAACGCATCCACTAGAATTAGATCTAGGATGAGAATCCATGATCTTGGCCCCCTCATCTCGACCCCTACTTTGTTCCCCTTGTATTTCATGAGAATACTCAAGGCAAAAGGGGATCAAGATGCCGAGAATGATGGATAAAAGCTAACCATAATAGGAAGTCGTTTCTTGCTCGTGGTGTTTGCAACGACCAAGTACGGGTTCTCAGGTGGTCACGCGACAGGCCGGCTCTCGTGCTTTTCCGGCTCCCCGGAAAATTAGGCCGTAACGCGAGTGGCGGGCGACTTTCCTTCACTCCAGCTTTTTTCTGAGACCACGTACTAGATGTTGACCCGTTAATATAATTGATGCAGCTCTTCCGCGCCTTACCCTTGGTATCAGTTCCAAGCACCTTGACATCAGGGCCACCCACAGTCACGCAGCTCGAACTGGAAGAATCATGCTCCTGAGAAGTGGCAGCAACACCATCATTGTCGAGAACAACAGCCCGCGAGGACGCACAGGAGCTTGAGGCTGATGATCCCTGGTTGCTGGAGGATCTAGGAGGATACTCCGGGATGCAGTCCATGGGCTCCCGGAACACCTGCGCTCTAAAAGGTGGCGTCGAATTCGTACACCTCCCTTGCTCCATAGGCGAGAAGGTTTGATGTTCACCCGGCGATGGTGTACCAAAGCCAGCCGGAGGGGGACTATTCCGAGCAGCTGCGTAATGTGCAGGCGATTCCGCGGTAGTTCCTCGATCATGTTGAAGAAACGCTGCTTGTTCTCCAAAGACTGGAGGTACCATGCGGACTGTAGGAAATTCCCCAGTAGAATTGACGGTCTTCATCTGCGTTGAAGATACCACAGTGCCATTGCCATCCACCTCATCAGGTGTAGCTGCAGGCGTTGTGGCGTTAGAAAAGAAGCCATCTCGCAAGAAGTCTTGTAGAAGCGATTCACAATGAGGGTTACGCATGCGGACACAGCCACGTTGACTGCTCTCTGTCTCTTCGCAATCGAAGTAAGGTGCTACTCGCGCATGGGTAGCTTCCGACAACAAAACGCGACCTTCCTCACATTTCCCCTCCATCCTAGCTGCTAGATTGACGTGTGCGCCCCACAGATCAAACGTACAGTCTTGCGCTAAGAAACCGGCATAGGCAGGACCAAAATGCATACCAACTTTCAACTTTAGCTTGCGAAGAAAACCTAGTTTTCCTTCTGCTTTCATCTTATCCCACATCGACACTGAGCCGGCACCCGGCTCTACCCAATAGCTGTGCTTCAACAAGTAAGGCAGATCTTTCTTGAAGTGTTTCACTACACGCAACGCGAAGCAGACACAACGCACAATGTTTACAATCAATTCGGTCGCTGTTTTTGCGTCATGAACTAGGCCTGTGCCCGCCATGTAGCAGTCGCCTATCGTCTTGATCTTCTGGACGCCGTAAACAAAGGCAAAATCGTCTAGAGTCGTGAAAACCTGTTGCAAAATTTGGAGGAATTCTTCGCTGCCAATGTTGCTACTCATCTGCGTGAAATTCGAGATATCTGCAAACAGAATAGTCGAATGTCTCCTCAATTCGGCATGTTCTACTTCTAGACCTTGTCGCACTCGATCCTCTAGGCGCTCTAAGACTACTCCTGTGACCATGGACTCTAAGATATGGTCGTGGACTTGTAACGTATCAGAAATCTCCTTTTTCTGCGTCTGCAACTGATGAATCTCAGCCCAGCTACGTCGTGCGCGGCGCTCACAGACTGCAGAAGCGAGGAGTAAGACAAGCACGCTCGCTGTGGCGCCGAGAAAACCATAAGGGACTCCAGCACCTGTGCCACTACCTCCACACCAGGGACCCGACGGACCTACAACTGTCGATGCAAGGAAAGCCGTTGAAGAAGGAGGTCCGTGTTGAGGAGGTTCTCCCCGAGTACTGGCGGCTCCACTTCCACCTCCTCCTCCACCTGAAAATGCCGCCGCACTTCTAGTACTGTTTACTGATGTTGTGCTGTGCTGCCGACTAGGCACGCCAGCGGTCGTGCTAATAATGTCCTCGTCCAGGAGGCTTGCGCTTTCGGCTAGTATGTTGTACTCATTTAACCAGGGAGACTCGGTACTTCTACTCAGTTCGGAGCAAACACGGACCAAAGGATTTTTTACTTCGACCTCCTCTTCAAGGTCTCCTTGTAACGAAGCACTGGAGGTGGCTCTCCCTCCACGTCCTGCTGTTACCTCCAGGACAGGACGATCCCTCAACGTCACCACACGCAAGGAGCCGAACAAAACAACGTCTGCAAACCCAAAGAGACCAGAGAGATGCGAAACGTCGACGTAGAAAATCCTTGCAGGGAACCAACGGATCAGAGTCAAAGGGTGTTCTTCGACTCTCCTAGCGTTCCCTGTACTACCTGGACGCGAAGGTCTCCTTCCAGTAGGAGTCCCAGGCTCAAAAGCGTAGCTTCCTGTTCTACCACGCAAAGTGGGAGTCCCTGGAGGTTCTGCAACAGAAGTCGTTCCTTGTGCAGGGACCTGTTGCTGTCCCTGCACGTCCGGTGACGACAAGAACGCGGTACGGGAAGCAGCAAGAGATGAAGAGAATTTTTCCTGTGTTCTGGCACTAGTAGCTGTCGTTGTAACACCTATTTGAGCTGCATAGATCGCATCTACTGGTGAAGCTGTGCCAGTACTTGTAGCACTTGTCGTTGCATTAAGAGGAGTGGCACTTGCTGTTGTCGTGGCGAGCAACTGTAGTTGATTGGCAACTGGTACAGTCTCCGGAAACACAGCCCCAAAAATCCACTGCGCAGTGAAGAGCAGCACACATAATGTACACAATAGCGCGAAGGCTGGCATCGGCAGAGAGGCGCAGACGAAAACTGCAGCTAGAAGCAATAACGCTGGAATCCACGAGTTAGTAGCTAAGCGGCATTGCGCCAGTGCTTCTTCGAATTCGTCAGCGGCTAAATAACGGCTCGTTTCTTCATTTGGAGCTTTCTTGTTCGGACTGCTCTCAGAATCAGTTGCTCGCCGCGGTCCGCCACCAGCTTGCCTCGCATAGGCAAACGCCGCTGTCATGGTCACGGTCGCCGCAATCTGGTCTGGCTGCGAAGCAGAGGCGGTTGCGGCACAAATTTGGCACGCCCTCCATTCTGTATAGCTGAGGCGCGCTAAGCTGCTACGCAGCTCGCGCTCCATCTCGTCCTGCGCTGATTCTTCATCGTGCAATGCACGTGTCCGCATATTATATTGAGCAGACATTACCGAACCTCCTGTCGCACCTGTAGATAGATACGGAATGTTGTTGCCGTTGTTGCTACCAGCTTGTCCTCCACCAAGACCAACATCATGTATAGAACTCGCTGTTGTAGTTTCACCAGTTATAATCCAAGGTTCTTCTTGAGCAGACAGTACCGAACCTCCTGTCTCATCCTCAGATTGTGGAACTTGCCTCGGAAAGGGCGAGTCGCCGGAAGTAGCTGCCCCAGTCTCGGAGGAGGACACGGTAGTTGACTCCCGATTCATTCCCTCGGCGACTGAGGAAAGAAACGTTGGACGCCGACGCCTTGACCGAGCACTCGATCCTCCACCACCAAATCGAAGACCCGCGATTGAGGAACTAGGAGGGACGCGGTCGAGCTCGTCGTCTCGAGCTTGTAGTGCTAGTTCTGCCTCCAGCTCATCTGATTTTGCAAGGAATGCATCGAAGTGCTGTGCCAGTGCGGCCTCTGCGAGCGAGGCCCTCACCGCACGACAGGGGGCGTAATAAACGAACAGTAATGGACTGGCGACAACTGCAGACAAGACGATAATCGCGGCAACAGGGACGACCTGTGCGAGTGACAGCCACTTACTGAGGGCTTTTGGCGGTGCACCCCACACACTGCGGCGGAACCAGGAAGCAACAGACAGCGCTAGACAGTTGCAGCAGGACTTTCCAGAAGAAGATAAACCTTTTGCTACATTCGGAGGATGCCCATTGTCGTTCGTTGAATAACTTCTACTGGCATCCTGGTCGCTGTTTTCCTTTGACGCGGCAAAGACTCCTTCATCTTCCTCCATGTCAACGTCCGCCACTAAAGCAGCAGACCTTGCGGGTGAGACACTACTTTTCACACTTCTTCGATGAAGATCTCCTCCACAACGCATTAATAAAGATGAACCTGCTCTTGGTAGCGGCGGGGCACCTCCACAGAACCTTGAAGTATCAAGATTCACGACACTGGCTCTTTTTGTGTTGTAATTCATGATCTTGTTGTTTACTACTGGACCCTTGCCTGCGTCCATGCTCTGTCCACCTGCTTCTCGCTCTGTCTCTTCCAGCCTATCTAAACGATCTTCTAGCGTGTCGACTCCGCCACGCAATTGTAACGGACGATAACTGGGCAAACAGCTTTCGCGGAATTGAGTGACTCTGCGTATGCGTGGCGGACTTTGCGTTCTCGTACTGTTGCTCCTGGTGCCAAGACCTTCACTGCTGCTTTCGTACGCACTAGAATTTTTGCGACTTTTCATCTCCAAATATTCTAGCGAACTATAAGCGGGCATCGGAACAGCAACTGCATTGTCTTTTAGAACAAGTGCTGTCTGCGCAACGGAAACTTCTTCTCTTGGCGCAGCGAGAAGTGATTCCCGCTCGTCCTCTAAAACATCTTCTAAGCCATCTTCCCCGCCTGCCGCTCGTAAAGCACCCCCGTCTCCGGTACAACTCCCAAAAAAAAACGTTGCAGATGAGTTCGATGAAGGTTGTTCAGCAGGTAGTTGCATTGAGGGAGGATAAATAGAAAAATCATCCGCTTGACTTCTGCCCCTGCCCCTGCCGCGCCAGACAGACCTCCGCATCTGATTCGTCGTCGTTCTCCTCTCTGTACCCAGACCCCCATCTTGACCACTAGACACCTGGCGCCCTCCTCCTGGTGTCTCAGAAGTTCCTAGATGTTGTACCATGCCAGGTGGACTTCTTCTCATGTTTGGACTTTGTGTACTTTGGATTGCACCAACGTGCCGCTCCTGTAAGCTCAGCGCATGATCTTCATCTAGCAACGACCTCTGCTCAACAACCGTATCATGTTGAGGAGCAGGGAGTTCTTCGAGAGTACTAGGTGGCTCTTGTTCCTTTTTCTCTTTGTAGCATCTCAAGACAACATGTGTCAAGAGGAAAACTACTAGCGAGCAGCTTATCACTCCGTTCCAAAGAATGCCAGTACTGCGGACTAGCGATGACGTAGCGCGATACTGCAGGACAAGTGACGCTTTTGTTTTTAGAGCGCTGGCCTGCGACAATGGCTCCCAAGGGGAGGGAGGGTGTCCTGTTTGCTGTAGTTGTGGTCCAACTTCTGCAGGTAGAACTTCAACTGTCGAACCTTCTGAGAGTGCACGCTGCCTCCTATTTTCTCCTGTACTGACAGCAGCAGCTTCTGGAGAGAGAGACTCCACACTGCCACTTGTAGTCGCCCCAGCAATAGCACAGAGAATAAGCAAAGTCACAACGAGCACTCCAGAAAGTGCCGTCACTATGAGCTGAGCCTGGTGGACCCACATTATGCTCCGAACAGTGGTCTCCTGCTCATAGCACTCCTCCAATGCTGGGTCCTTGAAGAATTTCAAAGTAATTGCATGCTGGGAATAGTCAAACGCGGCTCCCTGGTGTCCTCTATTGCCCTTGTAGTTCCCTTTACTTGCTCCTCGAGAAGTTGCGGTATGCTGATTCTGGTCTCCACCAGAGTAGGAATCCCCTACGAGGACTACGCTCTTGTCTACTTCATGCTCATAGAAGTGGTTGTCGTCACGCGTGCTAGCAGTGCCAGGACTTAGAGGATAATGATTCTGTTGTAGACCACCGCCGCCTCCATACGCAAGATTCGGTGCAGTCGATGATGAGGACCCACCTTGCTGATAGTTCCCTCCTCCAGCATGTGTGCTGCCTGCACCATGATGCTGTTGTCCGGGTCCTCCTCCACCAGGACATGCCATCGTACTAGCACTACTTGGCTCATGACGGTAATACGAAGATGCAAACACATCGGGAGCATTCGATTGACCGTCAAAGTCGTGTGGCTGATGAAAAAGATGGGACAAATTTTCACCTGTCCTGGGACTATGGTGTAAACTCTTTGCCAGGCCGCGGTCGGTGTAACCCCAGGAACCCCCATGGTCGTCTTTATCTGGTGACCTGGGATCTCCATAGTACTTACCATCTAGCAATGGGGGCGCCTGTGGGAGCCTTGCTCCACGAACTCTTTCAGGCCCAGCAGAGGAAGAACTGGACCATCCATCGCACACTTTTGGCGAGCCGCCTGGTGCCGAACATCCTGCAACCGGCTGCTCACCTCCCACGTTAACACCTGGTGAAGAAATATTCATCACAGTAATAGAACTACCACGTCGGCCACGGGCACGCATTGACACGTCTC